GCGCAGTATATATATTCGGGGAGCGCAGTATATATATTCGGGGAGCGCAGTATATATATTCGGGGAGCGCAGTATATATATTCGGGGAGCGCAGTATATATATTCGGGGGACGCAGTATATATATTCGGGGGGTGCAGTATATATATTCGGGGGTGCAGTATATATATTCGGGGGGTGCAGTATATATATTCGGGGGGTGCAGTATATATATTCGGGGTGCAGTATATAATTCGGGGTGCAGTATATATTCGGGGTTTCTCTTTACCTCCGATGCTGCCTGTCGTTGCCGGTTGCTGGGGATCTCCTGGGGCGGGCGGGGAGGCAGGGGGCTGGGCGGGGGGCATGGTGGGGGGCTGGCTGGGAGGGGGCGGTGCCGGTTCGGGGGGCTCCGGGGGGAGCTGGGGGTCGGGGGGAGGGTAGGTGGGGTATACGGGCGGTCCGTAGGGCGGGGGAGGGTAGGAGTAGTAGGGCCGTGGTGCGGCCGGTGCCGGTAGCGGTGCCGGTGGTGGGGGCGGTGCCGGTGCGGTCCCCGGGGGGGCTCCCGGTAACACGCTCTCGAGCTGCCGCTGGTGCATGCGCTGGAGCTGCTCGAGCTGGGCCCGGTGCTGGTCCCGGAAGCTCTCGAAGGCGCTGGGGGGAGCGGGAGCGGTGTCGGGAGCCGGGGCGGGCGGGGGGGCGGCGGGCGGGGTGGGGAACGAGCCATAGCGGCCCCAGGCCGGATACATGGCGGCAAATCCTCTCAGTGTCCTCTCTCCGCCGCGAGCTCCGAGCAACTCGCACCACGTGACTCCGCCCTGCCAATCACAGCTCGGTGGGAGGGGCCACCGTGACGTCACCGGCCGCCATCTTAGTAATACCGAGAGTGAGCCAGAGGGGGCGCGCGAACCCTCACCCTATTCACTAACCCAGAGCGAGAACCCTCACCCTATTCACTAACCCAGAGCGAGAACCCTCACCCTATTCACTAACCCAGAGCGAGAACCCTCACCCTATTCACTAACCCAGAGAGAGAACACTCACCCTATTCACTAACCCAGAGAGAACACTCACCCTATTCACTAACCCAGAGAGAGAACCCTCACCCTATTCACTAACCCAGAGCGAGAACCCTCACCCTATTCACTAACCCAGAGAGAGAACCCTCACCCTATTCACTAACCCAGAGCGAGAACCCTCACCCTATCCACTAACCCAGAGAGAGAACCCTCACCCTATTCACTAACCCAGAGAGAGAACCCTCACCCTATTCACTAACCCAGAGAGAGAACCCTCACCCTATTCACTAACCCAGAGAGAGAACCCTCACCCTATTCACTAACCCAGAGAGAGAACCCTCACCCTATTCACTAACCCAGAGAGAGAACCCTCACCCTATTCACTAACCCAGAGAGAGAACCCTCACCCTATTCACTAACCCAGAGAGAGAACCCTCACCCTATTCACTAACCCAGAGAGAGAACCCTCACCCTATTCACTAACCCAGAGAGAGAACCCTCACCCTATTCACTAACCCAGAGAGAGAACCCTCACCCTATTCACTAACCCAGAGAGAGAACCCTCACCCACATTCACTAACAGGCGAGAACCCTCACCTATTCACTAACCCAGAGGGGAACCCTCACCTATTCACTAGCAGAGAGAACCCTCACCCTATTCACTAACCCAGAGAGAGAACCACTCACACATTCACTAACCTCACCTATCCACTAACTTGAGAGAACCCTCACCCTATTCACTAACCCAGAGAGAGAACCCTCACCCTATTCACTAACCCAGAGAGAGAACCCTCACCCTATTCACTAACCCAGAGCGAGAACCCTCACCCTATTCACTAACCCAGAGAGAGAACCCTCACCCTATTCACTAACCCAGAGAGAGAACCCTCACCCTATTCACTAACCCAGAGAGAGAACCCTCACCCTATTCACTAACCCAGAGAGAGAACCCTCACCCTATTCACTAACCCAGAGAGAGAACCCTCACCCTATTCACTAACCCAGAGCGAGAACCCTCACCCTATTCACTAACCCAGAGAGAGAACCCTCACCCTATTCACTAACCCAGAGAGAGAACCCTCACCCTATTCACTAACCCAGAGAGAGAACCCTCACCCTATTCACTAACCCAGAGAGAGAGAACCCTCAACCTATTCACTAACCCAGAGCGAGAACCCTCACCCTATTCACTAACCCAGAGAGAGAACCCTCACCCTATTCACTAACCCAGAGCGAGAACTCTCACCCTATTCACTAACCCAGAGAGAACCCTCACCCTATTCACTAACCCAGAGCGAGAACCCTCACCCTATTCACTAACCCAGAGCGAGAACCCTCACCCTATTCACTAACCCAGAGAGAGAACCCTCACCCTATTCACTAACCCAGAGAGAGAACCCTCACCCTATTCACTAACCCAGAGAGAGAACCCTCACCCTATTCACTAACCCAGAGCGAGAACCCTCACCCTATTCACTAACCCAGAGAGAGAACCCTCACCCTATTCACTAACCCAGAGAGAGAACCCTCACCCTATTCACTAACCCAGAGAGAGAACCCTCACCCTATTCACTAACCCAGAGAGAGAACCCTCACCCTATTCACTAACCCAGAGCGAGAACCCTCACCCTATTCACTAACCCAGAGCGAGAACCCTCACCCTATTCACTAACCCAGAGCGAGAGAACCCTCACCCTATTCACTAACCCAGAGAGAGAACCCTCACCCTATTCACTAACCCAGAGAGAGAACCCTCACCCTATTCACTAACCCAGAGAGAGAACCCTCACCCTATTCACTAACCCAGAGAGAGAACCCTCACCCTATTCACTAACCCAGAGCGAGAACCCTCACCCTATTCACTAACCCAGAGCGAGAACCCTCACCCTATTCACTAACCCAGAGCGAGAACCCTCACCCTATTCACTAACCCAGAGAGAGAACCCTCACCCTATTCACTAACCCAGAGCGAGAACCCTCACCCTATTCACTAACCCAGAGAGAGAACCCTCACCCTATTCACTAACCCAGAGAGAGAACCCTCACCCTATTCACTAACCCAGAGAGAGAACCCTCACCCTATTCACTAACCCAGAGAGAGAACCCTCACCCTATTCACTAACCCAGAGAGAGAACCCTCACCCTATTCACTAACCCAGAGAGAGAACCCTCACCCTATTCACTAACCCAGAGAGAGAACCCTCACCCTATTCACTAACCCAGAGAGAGAACCCTCACCCTATTCACTAACCCAGAGAGAGAACCCTCACCCTATTCACTAACCCAGAGAGAGAACCCTCACCCTATTCACTAACCCAGAGAGAACCCTCACCCTATTCACTAACCCAGAGAGAGAACCCTCACCCTATCCACTAACCCAGAGAGAGAACCCTCACCCTATCCACTAACCCAGAGAGAGAACCCTCACCCTATTCACTAACCCAGAGAGAGAACCCTCACCCTATTCACTAACCCAGAGCGAGAACCCTCAGCCTATTCACTAACCCAGAGCGAGAACCCTCACCCTATCCACTAACCCAGAGAGAGAACCCTCACCCTATTCACTAACCCAGAGAGAGAACCCTCACCCTATTCACTAACCCAGAGAGAGAACCCTCACCCTATTCACTAACCCAGAGAGAGAACCCTCACCCTATTCACTAACCCAGCGAGAATTAAGGTGGAGGTGGCGAATCAACACTCTATACACAAACCCCTCCTGTTCCTTGTAGTAAGACTCTACTAATATACCAGTTTACTTCCATTATCTCTATCGTATCTACCCATACTTTTTATTCACCTTTTTGAATATTTCCAATATCTATAATCTAAATGCCAAGCTTTATTCCTCTGATCCCCTTAGACTGCTGCTAGTTAATTGGCTACATTCTAGCCTTCCACTTGGAATAATATTTTATTGCTAAACAGCTGTCTTTCTGGATACTATGTGTCTACTTGCTTTGATCAAGAATTAGTGTATTTTCTCACGCTTGCTGTGATTGATGTATACAAGCCAGATAGGCAGACCCCCTAGGTTTCTCCTTTTTAATATTACACTTTTAGAAGTCACTTTTGTGTTTTTCACTTTGCCCTTTTTTTTCTTTTTCACTTTTATGTAGATATGACCTTTAAGTACTAAAAGTTTTTATATTTTAATTTTGTTTCTTACCAATTATAGTGGGTTATACATGTTATATGTGGGTAATCTAATTTTGAGAATCGTTAACCATAGTGTAACCGCGGCTGGTTCCCTTATTTACCACTATAATGTCTTAAAGCATAGAACTTAGTAGGGCTAACCATACAGCTATCTTAGCCATAATTTTATATAGTTAGTGTAAGAGATCCTCTATTTAACATATACAAATAATTGAGAATACAATATAAAATAAGGATTGTCTTGGAAGCAATACAGTTTTGTCTTTTTAGATATTTATTATATAAAAATATAAATATAGACATAGAAAATCCATTATAGCAGAGTTTAAGATTAAACTAAATGCTTGCAAATATCATTAATAGGTTAACATACCCTTCTGAACATGTCATCATGTCAGCCTCTCTGTCATTTTAAGATGGAGCAGCGTCTGTCTCCAAGTCTCTCCTCTGTTTCGTAACATTTAAAAGTACACCAATTTATACCTTAGGTGTCTCCATTTTAGGGTTACCGTAGTTCATATATGAAAAAGTAACACTTCTTTTACTTTATTCATTTTAGGACCTCCCTTAACTTTGCAAAAATACAAGTCCATAACTAAAGGGTGCATACGTCATGGAACTTTTCCTGACTTAGTTCAAGATGGCATCTTAAAGTCTGAACATCCTTATCTACTAAGGTTACCACAGTATATTGTGTACTGAAAGAGTCGTAGCATAGCCTTGAAGCTTGTTTATGCATTATTGTTATTGTAATTAGTCTGGGACAAAATGGCGCAAACATATTATGCACTGAGGTTAATGCTTAAAGAAACAGTTATGAAAAACTATGTTCCATTTCTAACACCTTGTCAGTTTGCAATATCTCTTAAAGACAAAAGTACACAGTTTAAGAAATACAACATTTAATTCTAAAACTTGTAATATTTGCATGTGCCCATAACAATAGTCTTTTGATTTGGAACCCCCTTTTTTTTTTTAAAGAAAGATTTGTTACTTTTTTTTTCAATTTTGTCTCTTCTAGGTT